AAAGATAGAAACATCCCTCTTCAGTGAAAGTTTCTTCAGCTGCAAACAGAGGCACTGGTGTAACTCTGTTGCCTTCAGCAAGGTTATGACCACAGTGGCTGTAGCTGCAGCTGATGTCAAGCAATGACACCCCCAAAAAATCAACTCTGAGGGTTTTACTTGAGGTTGCTGGTTGTGTGTTCCTGCTGGGTCTGTGAAGTGCCTCATGAAGGAGGTGTGATGTGGTCTCATTTCTCTCTGCTGAGCCACAAAACTCATCGTGGGTATGCACAGTTTCGTAGTGAAAAACCTGCCTGTGAAGCAGGGGGAGCTTCTGTCACCCTGCAACAGCAAACCCCATCCTGTGGATATCACCAGAGTCCCATGATAAAGCCCAGTGGTGGCTGTTCCTGGTGACTGTTAACAAAGCTGGGACACCCCAAAAAAATCTGCTAAAAATTTGCTGTTTTGTCCCACTCTTGTTTTCTTCCTGCTCTCCCATCCAAACCAGAAATTTTGGGTGCCCGTTACGAGGTCGTCAAGCCCTTCAAAACTAAAATCTTCTGACGTGTGAAGTGGGAATCCCATTTTCCCTGGGATTCCTGCTGCCTGCACCTGTCTTGGCTTGGTCCATCATCACAGTGGGGAGGTTCTGAATTTCTTGGGGGGCTTTTGCTTTCCTGTTCCCACAAAGGCAAAGCAGAGCCTACTTTATGGAATCCAGTGCTTATTTAGGCTGCCAGAGAGAGGCAGGTTTTGGATTTCTTCACTCTTGGAGATGAGACTTGGAGTAGAAAATCCCCCATCACTGGAAGTGTTCCAGGCCAGGTTGGATGGGGCTTGGAGCAACCTCAACTAGTGGAAGGTGTCCCTGCCCATGGCAGAGGATTTGGAGCTGGATGGTCTTTAAGATCCCTTCCAACCCAAACTTTTCCATGATTCTGTGCAAATACAAACATCTGCTTGGGCTGTGAGTGTTTCAGTGCTGAAGTCTCCTGGTGTCACCAGGAGAGGAGACAGGAATGCCATCCCTGCTTGATAGATCCACGTGGCAGGTCGTGGATTTGGTGCATGCAAAGAGGGTAACAAAATCAGCTTATGTGTGACATCTGAAGATCTACAGAGCAAGGATTTCACAGCAGAAACTGCTTAGGTGGCCAAGAAGGCCAACAGCATCCTGGCTTGTGTCAGCAGTGTGTGGCCAGCAGGGCTAGGGCAGTGATATTCTCTTCTCCCGAGTAACAAGCACAGGACAGGAGGAAACAGCCTCAAACTGCACCAGGGGAGGTTCAGATTGGATATTAGGAAAAATTTCTTTAACAGAAAGGTTGTCAAGCACTGGAACAGGCTTCCCAGGGCAGTGGTGGAGTCCCCATCCCTGGAGGGATTTAAGAGCTGTGTGGATGTGGCACTTGGGGACATGTGTTGGTGGTGGCCTTGGCAGTGCTGGGTTAACAGTTAGACTCGGTTATCTTAGCGGGCTTTTCCAACCTAAACCATTCCATGACACACACAATAGTTCACAGAGGGCTGGAAATGCACATGAAACTCTGAATTCCTCCTGAATTTGCTGGGCTTTACACTTTCAGTCCTTGCTACGTTCAGTCTCTCCTGTTTGTTTTCTTTCAGGCTGCTGCTGAGGCCTTTCAAAGGCCCCAAAAGCGCCAATTTAGGAGGGGAAAACGTGACTTCTGTAAAAAGGCTTTCAAGTGAAGCCCAAACCTCCAGCTTGAGCTTCAGCTGTGTGATGCTCACTTTAGTTTTCCATCTTGTGAGACTACCGAGCCTTTTGCACAGCCTGCCCACGGGCTCCTGTTGTGCCTCCGCTCCTGAAATCCCACATTTGTGAAGTTTCTCATTTTTTTCTTTTTTTTTTTTTTCTTTTTTTTTGGAAGTGTATTTTCCTCCTTGTGACCACCAAGTGGTGCTCTGCACTGCACCTTGCAGCAAGGCAAGCTGCTGGCATTTTGGAACGGGGAAGCGTGTGTGGGGGGAGGGTGGTTAAAAAGCTGTTTTGGGATGTAGGAACGAGCCAGAGAGGAGAAGGAAACAAATGAAGAGCCTTTTTCCTTCCCCCCTCGCAGCGGTCGTGCCGCAGGGATCACATTATTCACAGCTCTCTGCTGTGGCTGGGAGTGATTGATGAAGCTTGGTGATGATCAGATGTGATAAGTGGCCTCAGCACTTTCGATTTGGGTGTTGAGCTCTGCTGCCTCCCAGGCTTTGGAGGCACGGAGATGGCTATCTGTGGCTTCAGCACCAGATCCTGGCAGGTGGCTGGGATTTGGCTCGCTGAAAATCACAAGAAGCTTCTAAAATCCTTGTCCCCAGAGTAGTTTTTCAGAGATAACAATCTGATGACTGTTCTCTCTTTGGCTGCTTTTTCCCCCCCAAGTCTGAGGAAAGCCCCTCTTCACGTGAAGTCCCTCTCCTCTGCTGTTCTAGCTGTTAAATTTTGGGAATGTTTGTGGCTGTGTTGCTCTCAGCAGGGGCAGGAGACCTGCATTAACTTGTCTTTGCAGGTTTCCTGTGAGCACTCTCCAGGTGCCATTCTCAGCTTTCCAGCTGGATGTTTTATATGAAAAACATGCAGTTTGACAAAGAAAATTTGTATGTGCATTCAAAATGACAGGCACATTATAAGACAGAAACTGCCTATAAAACGTAATGGGAATTTAAGGGGCTAACTACATCCCTGTAAGCTCCATTAGATGCTCTGTGTGGTGTAATTGTGTGCAGGAATGATTTTTCCAGGTCCCAGAAGCCAGGAGATAGCAGGATGATGCAGCTAAATCCAAACAGCAGCTCATTTGTATGAAACACAGGACTAGAATTGAAAGGTGGCAAGTGGGGCTGTCTTGTTTGGTGAGCTGAGGAAAACATGTGGTGTTTGAAAGCAAATCCTTGATACAACCTTTCAATCATCAGCCTCCATCAGCAATAGTGTGGCAGCAGGAGCAGGGCAGTGACTGTGCCCCTGTGCTGGGCACTGGTGAGGCCACACCTCGAATTCTGGGGTCAGATTTGGGCCCCTCATGACAAGAAAGACATTGAGGGGCTGGAGCGAGTCCAGAGAAGGGAACAGAGCTGGGGAAGGGTCTGGAGCACAAATCCCAGGAGCAGCAGCTGAGGGAGCTGGTGGGGGCTCATCCTGGAGAAAAGGAGGCTCAGGAGGGACCTTCTCACCTTCTCCAACTCCCTGACAGGAGGGGGGAGCCAGGTGGGGATCGGGCTCTGCTCCCAGGGAACAAGGGACAGGACAAGAAGAAATGGCCTCAAGTTGTGCCAGAGGAGGTTTAGATTGGATATTAGGAAGAATTTATTCACTGAAAGGGTGGTCAAGGACTGGCACAGGCTGCCCCCAGCAGTGGTGGAGTCACCGTCCCTGGAAGTGTTCAAAAGGCACGTGCACGTGGTATTTAGGAAGGTGTTTTATGGGTGAACACGAACACGGTGCTGGGCTGACTGTTGGGCTCAGTGATCTTGGAGATCTCTTCCAACCTTAACCATTTTATGATTCCCCAAGTTCCCCAGTTTGTCTCCCGTGTGCTCTGTGGAGCAGCTGTGCTGGAGTGCCCAATCCCATCCTGCAGCAGAGAGGAGGGGAGTGGGGCATCACCCGCTTTCCTTGCAGCAGGAGGGATTTGTGCAGCCCCTCGGGTGTCCTCCCTCAGCCACTCCATCTCACTGCAGTGTCTGTGACCTGTATGAGGTACAACTCCAGCAGAAAGAAAGGGATATCTAGGTTAACAAACGGGTATTTGGATGCACTGTTGGTTTTTAACATGCTCCTAGACCCTCAGCTGAAGCATCAGCCCAGGTGCAGATGGGCTGTCCCAGCCTGAGCACATCAGGAGGGAGTTTTCTGCAGGGCTAAGCAGAGCTTTGTGCAAATTAGATAAAGTGCTAAATACTATGTTTTGGTTTCCAGCTTTGACAAACTAACCATAAGAAATTCAAAGCATGTCATTGTTCCAGATATTATCTTTTCCTGGTGGGTGGCTCCATTAGGAGCTATTAAGTAGCTCTGATGCAAATTCTGGCTTAAGAAGTCCTCAGGACTTTGGTAACTAAAAACTGGGAAGAGAAAGTGTGGGGAGACTGGCTCTGTGTGTGCTCTGCTCTGGTCTTTCTTTAGCATCTGTGGCCAGCTGTGGTTGGAAATAGGATGTGGACAGAAATGGGCTTTGGTTTGATCCAGCACAGTCCTTCTGATGTTACCACTTTAGATTCTAGCTGGGAAATGTGGCTTAAATATTTGTCTGTGTATGTTGACAGCACAGGCAGTTTTGGAATGGATGAGTATCTGCTGTGGTGGAGAATTCATGGAATGACAGAACGGTTTGGATTGAAAGGCACCTTAAAGATCATTTAGTTCCACCTTCCACTAAATCCACACAGATTTCCTCTGTGGCACATTTGTCTGCTCTTCCATGAGGTGTTGGCTGTGCTTTCCAAGGCCAGGTTGGATGGGGCTTGGAGCAACCTGCTCTAGTGGAAGGTGTCCCTGCCCATGGCAGGGGGTGGAACTGGATGGTTTTTGAGGTCCCTTCCTGTTCAAACCACTCTGGGATTCTGGGAATTAAGCCTGCCTTTGTCTGATGTAAATCTGCTGTGACAGGAGTGGTGGTATCAACCAGCTGTGGATCCTGCAGGGAAATAGCTCTCACTCGAGCTGAAATGAGTGGAGCAGAGAGCTCTGTAGCTGCAGATGCTCAGGTGGTGTTCCCATGCATGTGCTTGTTGGTGCTCTGCTATCAGGAAGCAGAAAACCAGCGTACTTCCCACTAACCTGACAGCCTGAGACAACGTCTCATTGTTACCCAGCAGGTTCCAAAGGTGAAGAGCTCCTCCAAACAGACCCCTGTGGGGGTCTTTCCTGTTGGAAAATAAGCACAAGCTCGTTCAGCTGCCCTGCCTTTGGAGGAGTGGCATCAGCTTGGTGCTCATCTCTAGGGATCTGTGACCCTGCTGTCTCCTGGGATCTTTCCTGATGTTTCTTTTCTCTCTCTCCTGGGCAGAGGGTGAAGAAGAGGAAGAGGATGAAGAAGAGGAGGAGGAGGAAGAAGAGGAGGAAGAGGAAGATGAGGAGGACAAAGACCTAGATCTGATGGATGAAAGCATGGAGGGCGACACGGAGCTGCCGGGTTTCACACTCCCAGGGGAGACCTCCCAGGATCCCATAGCTGGCCTGGAAAACCCTGTGGCCCAGCTGGCTGGGGTGTCCTACCAGGTTCCTGACACCATCGAGTGGGAGCAGCAGAACCAGGGTCTGGGTAAGAGAAAAAGCCCCTTCTCCTTTTACTTTCCAGAAGTCATATCTCCTGCTCTGCACTCTGCACGAGACAGTCCCTCGTGCCAGGGAGTCCCAGGGCTTGGCTCCCAAGCTAAACACAAAGCTGGTTCATTAATGGACAAACCCCATCCACCAGTGGACAACTGGTTGAACTGGGAGGAGTCCCAGGCAGCGTGACCTGAGCTGGCATTTTGGGGGGAATGTGAATACTCCAAACCTGCTCCTTCGTTCCCAGAGCTTAGTGTTGTCTTGCTCCAAGGGTAGACAAATAAACAACCTCTCAGGCGAGGTTCCTGGGGAAATTTCAGTTCCTAGAACTAATTTATTCCACCTAGGAATCAGTGTTTACATGTGTTAAATCCATGCCATGCAGTTCAAAGCTGGTGTGGGACAAGGTAGAGTTTGGAAAGGAACTTGCTCAGCTTGGCTTAGGGCCAAGGAGTATTTTCCCAGCATACTCAATTCCCAAGCCAGACCCCATCACCAGCAGTAGGAACTTCCCAGGTGAGTTTGTGGGAGCTGAAGCACATCTCTGGAGAGGGTCTTTGTGTCTCACTGTTAGAGAATTAGCTGTTCTGAGAAGCTCATCAGCTAAAGAAACCCCCAAACTCTTTCACCTGTTGTGCATCACATGTGTCTGTGTGATGTCTGTCACTTCCCCTGAATGTTTCATTCTGATTTAACCTGGTGGTTCTCCCCCTGTGATGCTGTTTTCCAGCCTGCTTTAATTTGCTTGGCTTCCTTTGAACTGAATCAAAGAGTGTGCTTCAAGAACTCCGTGGGAGGGTTGATCTCAAGAACTCCATGGGAGGGTTGGCCTTTGAGGGCAGGTTGAGTTTGCACCAGATCTGATACTTCCCTGTCCCATTAAATCTTGCTTGAAAAAATCCCCTGTTGGGTGGTTGCCGTGTCAGATCTGTTTCACGTGTCCTGTTATCCCACCAGGCTGCACAGGAGCTGTGTGGGGGCAATAATTCCAAATATTTAAGGGTTTCTGGCTGGCTTTGGCAAGCTGGGTGGGTGAAAGAGGTACGTGGCAGTGCTCAGAGGGGAGGTGTGTGAGGAGCAGGGTTAGGGTGGGAGTTGCATCAGCAGCTTCGTGTTCTGTTCTCACTCACTTCCTTGGTGCAGACACTTTCTCCTGAGAGAAAACAAGACAGGAGCAGCATATTTTCTGCACTGAGCTCTGTTGGCAATGGTGAGAAGGTTGCATTAAGCTTGAACCACCTAAAGCTCTTTGCCTGGTTCAGGATCATGTCAGGATGGGTGTCTTAGCAGAGCTTTGCCTCTGGGTCAAATCCTGGCTAAGGGTGCCAGGGCCTTGCAGTGTGTTTTGAGAGAGGCAGCATTTTGCCAGACACAAGGTGTGTCCCCCCAAACACCAGCCATCCCACTGTGCAGTGTGGAGGAAGATGGCACTGATACCTCTTCAGGGATCTTGGTACATTTAACCACCTCAGCTAGGGTGTCATCTGCCTTGGAGGGTTGTGACAGGAGTCATGTTCCCAGGACAGGGTGCAGACAATGGGTCAGAGGGTGTCTGGGTACTGCTGGAGATGCTGTTGTGTGTGATGAACTGTTGCCATGAGCTTTGGGGCTGGGGAGGAGGTTGTTCTGTTCACAGCTGATGCAGGTCTGAACTGGGGTCGTGGCTGCCTTTCCAGGTGCTGGAGAAAGAGCAGCTTTCAGGGTAGGAGACGCCTGGTTTGGATTGGAAAGGACTTTAAAAACCATGTTGTTCCAACTCCCTGCCATGGGCAGGGACACCTCCCACTGGACCAGGTTGCTCCAAGCCCCATCCAACCTGGCCTGCAACACTTCCAGGGATGGGGCAGCCACAGCTTCTCTGGGCAACCTGTGCCAGGGCCTGCCCACCCTCACAGCCAAGAATTTCTTCCTAAAATCTAATCTAACCCTGCTCTCTGTCAGTTTAAAGTCATTCTCCCTTGTCCTGTCACTCCAGGCCCTTGTCCAAAGTGCCTCTCCAGATCTCTTGGAGCCTCTTTAGGCACTGGAAGGGGCTCTGAGGTCTCCCTTGCCCAGGTGCAGACCTTGCTGGAGGATGCCCTTTGCAGTTTCTCCTCCACAAATCTGCTCCTGAATGTGCAGCTCTGATTCAGTTTCTGCTGTTTGATATTTCATCATCCTGCAGCCTTCATCCTCCACCACCTTCCCTCTTCCTCAGACCTTGGAGAGGCCATCCTTCCAAAATGTTAAGACATGGAATAAACTGAGGATTCTTCTCCCTGAGGGATGTTCTATTGACCCTTGTGCAAGTTGGAGGAGGTCTGTGTGAAGCCTGTCAAGCTGGGTCAGCTGCTGAGCACCCAGTCCAGGCACCTGGAAGGACTGGGCAGACTTGGAAGAAAACTGGCTGGGTTACTTGTCACCAGCTCCAAATGGTTGGAATTGCTTTTGTTTTTAAGCAGTTGCAGTCTGTGCAAACATCCACGAGGGAGAGGATGAGGCTGTGGCTGAGCTGAGTTCATCCTTAGGACTTAGATGGGAGTTCTGTGCAGTGGTGGAGGGGACACAGTGGGATCAGTCTCTCCTTGACTCACCCCTCTTATTCCACCAGGTAAATTCTGTAAGGAAATATTTGTTCGTTTTCTGTCTGGATGACCTCAGATGGCTCTGTGATTCTGCTCCCTTCCCCATCTCCAGTGGGCAAAATGCCCACTGGGAAATTATTTGTGTTTTAGAGGCACAAAGAAAACAGAACTAGGTGGGGGAGATTGGAACTAAACCACCTTTAAGTTCCCTTCCAACCCAAGCCATTCCATGGTTCTGTGGCTCTGTGATTCTGGGAAAACCTAAGTGTGCCTGAGCTCACACGGATAATCTGAGGCCGTGGAATGAGCTGAGCCCAGGTGGTGGGAAGGCTGATTCCCTGGGAATGTATAGGGAATGGGAAATGCTGTCACATCTCTGTGGCAGTACTGGGCTCCTTTTCCCTGAGATGCTGCTGCAGGAGTGTGGCCCTTCCCCTCTTCCCAGTTTGTCCCAGGTAGGAATTTCTGCCCTGCTTCCCCTGCTCTGGGTTTGTGGACACCCATCAGTCCAGGCCTGGTCCTGGTTGTGTGCTTCTTTGTGGGGTGCATTAGAGAAAGAGGAAAGGTGTAAAAAGCATACCCAGCCTGTGTCAGCAGGAATTGGATTGTTCAGACCATAAGAAATGCCTCCCCAAAGCTGGCAGGAGGCTGGAAGACCTGCTCCTATTGTTCTGCTGGAGCACCTGGAGAGACCAAACACCCAGTGCAGGGCTTGTAGAGCTTTAGATCTCCCGGGTGGGTGCACGGGCTACTTCTCTTTGAAACCCTTTTTCTCTGAGTGATCTAAAGGTGCCTCTTTGGAATCAATTGGCTCTTATTTTAAGGCAGCCTGGTAACCACTGGACATCTCCAGATGCAGCTCCAGGATGTGCTCCTGCCTGCTTCAGCCTTGGTGCATCCCAAGGAAGAGCTCTGTGTGTGTCTCTTCCTTCCCCAGGGAGTGCTGAGCTGGGAGGAATTTCCCATATTGTGTGAGTGAAACGTGGTTTAGAAGGGGAAGTTGTTCTGCTTCACCTGGGATACAGCACAGGAAAGGGAGAACTGGAAAAAAAGATAATGGTGCCCAGCAGAGTACAGGGTGAGGGTGCAGCAGCCAAGCACCAAACTTTCACAGCTGACATTTTCCGTTTTTAAAACACTCTGCACCTGTGTCTTCCTCCTGGGGATGCATCTGTCCCCCAGCCTTCAGAGTTGTGACATTTTAACGCTAAAACCTCTAGTACAGAGGAGCCCAGAAGTGTTGGAGTAGCTATCCTCAGGTCACTTGTTATTGAGCTTGCTTGGTGTGATGGCTGACACACTGCAGATCCCCAGAGAACGAGGAACTTGATCCACAAAACAGCTTGGCAGAACAAGAGACAGTTCAGATTTTTGTAGTGGACAGTGAGAAAGTGCTGGAGAAACAGAATCATTAAAGCTGTCAGTTCTGGGCAGTCAGATGGTCCTACATTAACTCCAGCTGAGCAAAAGCAATTTATAAGCACCAGTAACAAGACTGTCAGTTTTACAGCCCATCAGCTGACTCTCTAACCAGCAATGTTGAGACAGAAAGTAAGGCAGAAAATGAGAGAATCTGTGCCTTTTGTAAAATAGGAGCCCTTCTGGTGGCCTGCAGCTCTGGGGAAGGAAGGTCTGAATATGATTTGGGATCTCTTCTGGTGCCCTGTTCAAATGCTTTGCCTCCAGAGGTTGCCAGTGAAGGACACAGCAGTACTTTGGGACCTCTCTGCATTCTGTGTGAGATGACTTTGACCTCTCTGTACTCATTTCTTGATTTCTGTGTGGGTGATGTGTGGTAGGAAAACACTAAACACTTGGAGAAACATCAGAGGGGCAGGAAGACCAGGCTGGATGGGGCTTGGAGCAGCCTGGTCTAAGGGGAAGGTGTCCCTGCCCATGGCAGGGGTTTTGGAACAAGATAGTCTTTAAGGTCCCTTCCAAGCTGAACCATTCTGTGATTTTATTGTTCTATGAATCTTGGGCTTTTGAGAAATAAATTAAAACCCCAATTTCTTCCCTGGCACCTCTTTTGTGATGGTTTGTGCATTACCAGGACAACTGCAGTTGGTTTGTACGGGTTCAAATCTAGTGAACAGTTCCTGGTCCTTTAGTTACTCCTGATGAATCTTAAAGTAGATTGTCCTTATTGTACCCCACCATGGAAATGAAAACCCTTTACTTCTGTTGGGGGTGACTCCTGTGACCGTGCTCTTCTCCCAGTTCTCAAGTGCCTGTAACTGTTCTTAATTTAATGACCATGAGCCAAGACAAAAACATCCCCAGGCTTCCAAGCTATTTGTTGATGCCTTACTGCTTGCATCATCCATGTCCCAGGATGAACAATTCCTGCTATCCACAGTGAAGTGACAGCAGGAGGTCTGGGGCAATTTACTGAGCCTTTAATTGTCCTGCTTTGGGACGTGCAGTG